TCTAATCCGCAGATCCACGCCCAACACGAAATCGCACTTCGTTAGTCCTCGTCCTAGAGTCATCCATAGCCTGTAATAGCCTGAGAAGGACAATGGCCAATATCTTCGCAGCAGCGTCGATAAAACTTATTCCTCGGTAGTTCTCGCATCTCGTCTTGTTTCACTTCCTATGGACAGACGCAAGGATGCCTGAGCCCCAGTCATCAAGCGCAACCTCGTCTTTCTATGCTTGTTCAATCACCCAAGTAGCCAGGGCGCCAGAGTGTCGACATTAGACTTGAAGATGTTAGCGAGTATACTGACCGCTCCAGGTGCCTTGTAATTGTACTTGATGCGCCTCTGTTTACGTTTGATCTAGCCGGCCTCAATGACGTCACGGGCGGTATTTCTCCACGGGTGACGATTAGCGGCCGTAGACCTGGGAAGTTCCCCCCATTATCTTCTCCAGCGAAGGAGACCGAAAACCAAAGGTCCAAGTACCGCTTATGTGTTTTGACGAACGGTATTGAGCCAAGTCTTGGGTTGCCCTTTTCTTCGGCACCTCCAAGTGGGCTGCGGCGCCGGATCGAGGACAGTATAACAAAGCTCTAGCCGGCTTTGCTGTCAGCTTTTGTAGAGGAAAGTATCGTTGCGGGAGCTGGCTCGGGCCGTCTGGGCACACAGCTGCAGGGTTCTTCTGTTAATCCAGTCACTGCGGCACCGCTAAGTGAATCTAAGAATTTTCTTAGTTTTCCTATAGCCAGACGTTTTTAGTGATGACCATTTGCTACTGCCCGCGCCGTTGGCTCGGGTCGTAAAACAAAACCGGATTTCTATTCTTAAAGCCACGGAAGTGTTGGGTTTCCAGAGTCTTTTGACATTCGGGGGTCTCGCACGCGATATTTTGGACGCAGATGAGAGATGAACCTCCGGACGTGTGCTAACCAGAACATGGGCAGACCCGTGGGTATTACCAGTTTCGGCACCTCGTATGGACCTGCTACCGTGGACCCAATTTCGGAACCTTAAACTAACTAGAATGTAATCGATTTGACAGGCGGTATAGCCACTGTTTGAACATGCGGTCAATAGATGTGTAAGACGATGCTGAAAGCATGTGTTGGTGACAAACGGTCGGCTCTTATCAACATTGTCGGATCGAAAGCCAAGGCCAAAACTACCAATGAGGGAATTGTTTGACGA